TGCACCAAATGTTCCCTCAAAGCTTTGACATAAAAAGAACTTACAAGATAAGATCATAGTGTTATCTGCATTACCAGGATGCTCAAAATTCTTGATGAACTTCTCGAGCATCTAACTGTATGAATAATATTCCCACATCAAGAAAACTCCTAGTGTTAATCGTACTTCAACATGAAAGGATTCTTGAGACAAGAAACAATATTAGATTATTTCTTCATGTTTACTCAAAGAGTGGACACAAGGGTAAATGAGTTATTACACAATGAAAAGCAGATCATAGAATTCTCCATTAGATCAATCGCTAAAAGACAAACTTGAAGTAAAGAAAAGACAAAAGATTTCTAGCTAAAGAGGTAGTCACTTTGGAATGACCAAAGTTACACCATTCATGTCAAAGTGAAAGTATTTGGAGAAAAACTGTAAAAGTAGGAGTTAATTAATTGAGACTACACTTTTTACATATTTAAATTTGAGGTAACTCCTTTTTGGACGCATTTTAGAAACCCTCGAATACAAAACCTTTTTTTTTTTTTTTGATAACCGAGAAATCCGTCTGTGACCCGCCCTTTGGACCAATCACAGCCTTCTAAACTCGGTGGATAATGGGCCCGCCCCTCTACCCTTCTCCACTTAAATACCGGGCTTCGCTTTGCATGGTGTGGGGCTTGAACCTGCGACCTAAGCCACAAATCCTCCACCTTCTGCCACTTGAGCTAGACCTTGGGGGCATCGAATACAAAACCTTTTTTTTTTAACCAGTAATCTTGAGACTTGAGTATAAGATATTGTTCATATTTGAAACTTCACTTTTTACATATTTAAATTTTGAGGTAACTCCTTTTTGGACGCATTTTAGAAACCCTTGAAGACAAATAATTTTTTATCAGTAATCTTGATTAAAAGATATTATTTAGTATACATTAAAGAACTAACTTAAATAAGATAGATATCTAGGTAGGTGTAGCTTATTCCTCAACTTGTAGACAAATAAAACCTAAAACATACACCAAAAATGTCTAGATCAAAAGAGCATACACCAAAAACGATGAAACTATATTTCTGGACTTAAACTGTTCTATAATTGGAATAAAGCAAAAAAAAAGGTTGATCCAACATCTTCTGACGAAATATTGAAGGACGAGAAAAATATGAAGACTCGCAGTTTAAATGGTCAGCTTAAAGGTAAAGCATAGATATTGTTCACCATCACACGAAACTTTAAATAGTAGATAAAGAAAATACAAGAACATCAAACACCAGGCAACCATGTAAACGCCCTACAGAGTTACCTCTGCCAAAGATATGACTGTTAAATGACTAAATACAATGGAATAAAGGTAATTTGTGTACAAAGAAAACTTATTAGAAGCAACAACTGACCTGAAGTTCATCGTGGCCCCATGCATATTTTTCATATGAACTCCAGGCATGGCGCATAGCATCTTTCACTTTTTCTCTTCGAAGAGCATCAACAGGATCCTCTGTGTAATGTATTTTCTTCCCCACATCACCACCACTGCGACTAAAATTCATCTTTTCACCTGATACACTTTGATCATTCTTCAAATCCTCCAGCTACAATGCCACAAAGACCATAAATGGAAATAAAGCCAGCAATTAAACCATGATGAAGGAAACAGAACTAAATATTAAACCCTGTGAGTTTTGAAAGCAATAACAACAAACAAAAGAAAATGAGACGACTTTGCCAAAACAAGTGATGTTCATATATGTTCTATTCTCCTAAAAAGACCTACCAAGTCCTAAATATAACATTAGTCGCAGCAGTCTAAACCTGCCAGAACACAGACGGACCTCCCATCTATTCCTTCCACACGCCCTCCACCACATCCACCATCACAATTGCCAAACCTATTGCCCACACTACCACCATCTTCTTCTTTTTCAATGAGGCAATATGATTACACACACCACCTATAACTTCATTGCTTCTGTCCCCAACTACCTCTCTCCCAATGAGTTCCTTCCTGTTGAACCCTAATAAGCATGAGTAGTTTTCATACAAGATAAAAAGAGGTGAACCTAATTGCAAGAATTGATAACTGAATCAGGTTTTCCATTCTAACTAGTAAAACAATGTTTTCATTCAATTGGAAGGAGGAGAAATCGCTGTGTATCACCAAAATTATAAGAAGCTAAAGCATAAAGATTTCCCCACAAGCCAAGATTTATAGAAGAGTTGAAAATTAATCATACCAGTACAGACTTTGAAAAGAAGTGCGGAAACTGCTTACCAGATCTTGCAACCGTATCACTTCTTCATTCAACTTAGAGATCTCTTCCTGCAAAATCACATATTCATTGAAAAATTGCAAGACAAACTGAATTTAAAACTCCAAAATGTCCCAATCATAACTGCTTTAAGAACCACTAGCTTGCTTATGAAGTATATATATCAACAAACTTCTACATCAAAAAAAGATCACAGGACAGAGTAGAAGAAAATTCTATACAAATTGAAGGGCATTAAGAATCAAACATTATTAGAACTTTGCTACTACTAGCTAGAAAACCAAACTTTCACAGGCTGCCGACACCAATAAACAGAAAGCATTAGAGTATTACCTTTTACTTAGTTTCTTTTGAAAACTAATCGATGTTCACATGCAAGACGGAAGAACTCAATTACATTTCTTTTTATCAACAAGAAATTCCCCAAGAGCCATTGACGCACAGTACGAAACTAGGAGGGATAGCCCCTCTATTCTTATCCACTGAAATACCATGATTTTATCGGTGATATGGTTCAAATCCGTGACATGCACCTAACCCACACATCACACGTTGCAATTTTACCCCTAAACCAAAGTTCTGGGTTGATATCAATTAACATTTTTTCGAAGGAGCAAAGGGGGAGAAAGAGAAAGTAATCCCACATGCAGGCTCTCACTTAGAAACTTAAACCAATCACCAGACAACCAGTCAATATCTGCTTTCCTAAGGATTTTAACAGACCACAAATTCCAACATGATGAAAAAAGAACGCCACACTTCTTATCCTGGAAATCCGACAACTGAACCTCCCCCACTTCATTAAATGAAGCAGCAAATACTAAACTATCTAACCTTACTTGGATAAAGTTTTAAACCATGGATGAGATCGTACCAGCATTGATGAACTAGATCCCATCAGAATTATTAAGTTAAAAGTGCTTTTGGATGAGTCTAGTACTAGGATAGCAACCTTTGGGAGTCCTCTTGTTGCATCTCTATTTTCAACATGGGTCTGGTTTAGTAGAATTCCAATTTCTGGCCGTACAGACTTGCGCAAATTTGGAATTAAGGTATAGCTGTTTATTGCTAAACGATCTAACCTTATCAAGGGAGCCATTTCCACCTTAACCCGACTTATGTTTCAATTATCAAAAAGAACCTCAAAAGTATAGTCCTGCAGCTACTAGAAGATCTCTAAAATGAATGCCTAGATATCTTAAAAGTTTAAAATAATCAAAAATCAAATCTCACTGAGAATTCTTTAATCCCCATGCTTAGTGTTGGGATTAACTATTAACTATTTGATTGAAGAAGGAGCTTGCTAAAGTAATTCGTAAGGTCTACTTCAACTCATTACAGATAATAATTCCAGTAAGAAGTTGAACTACCTTGAATCTTCCAATATAGAGACTATCAAATTAATGAGGAATGGCACAATACAGATAGTCAGATACAACATACACTAAGGTACCTCAGATTTGGGGTGGGTGGGCACTCAAATACTCAATTCTATCCGCCTGGAACACGTAAATTCTCCAATGAAACATAGACATTCTTATTGTGGTAATAAAGCAAGACTTGCTCAAAATTAAAATGGAAACTATCAACAAGAGAATCAATTAACAAGTCAAGAAATGATACATTAATTCTACTACTAAGAAAATCAAAGAAAAAAATGTGGACGGCGACAGTAAAATAACAATGAGGCAAATCTTAGTAGCTCGGTTAAATGGTTACCTGAACTTATTCCCCACCTTATAATCCCCTCTCCATTTCCCCTTCCCCGCCTCCAATAAAAAAAAAAGTGGCAATAAAGTACGGTAACAGAAAAACGCGCACCTGGTGATCTCGGGCTAAAGTTTGTCGATCCCAAAAGAAGAAAGTACCGAATACGAAAACGATGAAAAGCAAAGCAAGACGCTTGGGGCGCTTCAAATAGTAAGATGGATTGATGTACTTCCACTTATTCGCTGACGATCTACTCCTCCCCATTTTCTGCTTATCAGAGAAATTGAAAATTGATCACAATCGAGATTGGTGAAACAGAGAAATGAGAGAGAAATCCATTGGGAATGAAGGGATAATGAAAATAAAATGGCAAGTAGTTAAAACGAGAAATAACGAAGACCAATAGCCGTTAGGGAATAGGGCGTAGGAACTAGTGTACGAATTCCTCTTCCTTTTTTTTTCTTTAGTTGGTGCCAAATTGACATGTAGACAGACATTTTATTTATTTTCATGTCCGTGTGTCCGAATCAGTTTTTGCACACCATTAACTGATTTTGGGAACTCCCTCCAGCAATAGATGGAACATGTGCATGAGAAAGTGAATTTAAAATGTCTAACTACATGAAATAAATCAAAATGTTCTCAATTAATAATTTCGTCCAAAAATATTTCTATCATTACTTATAAGAGTCAAAAATAATTTTTCTTATAAATAAATTTATTATTGTTTTCCTTTTTGGACACATTATTTTCCTATAAAATCAATCAATTAATAGATACTCCCTAGAATACAACTAAAATTAACTAAAAATCAATCAATTTATAGATACTCTCTAGAAAAACAACTTAAATTAACTAAATTTCACAGAAAAACCACGTAAGCAAGCCGAAACACCGCTTTCGCCTAAAATTACCTCAAACACATGTCTCTTCTTTTTATCATAATTTTCAAGCAGCTTTTAAAAACAAACTTCACTTTAACATGATTTTGTATTTGTAAAATTGTGCATAAAAATAGAGTATGAGAAAAGAAAAAATTGATCCAATCTGTTTACAATCACTTAAATCTTAAAATGTTTACAATCACTCGAAACCTTAAATAATAGAGAAAGAAAATAGAAGAACACCAATCAACAAGTAAGGCATCTAAGAGCCCTACTAAGATGCCTCCACCAAAGATATGACTGTTAATTAACTAACTACAATGGGACAAAGGTAATGTTTTTACAAAGAGAACTTAAGCAACAACCCAGCCTGAAGTTCATCGTGGCTCCGTGCATATTTTTCATACAAATTCCAGGCATGACGCATAGCATCTTCCAATTTTTCTCCTTGCTGAGCATCAACGGTATCATCTACAATATCCATTTTCTTCACCACTTGCAACTACATCTTTTCACCTGATACACTATCGACCATTCCTCAACTCTTCCAGCTACAATGCCAACAAGACCATAAACGGAAAAAAAAAAACCAGCAATTAAATCATGATAAAGAAAATGGGAACAATAGAAAATGAGACTACTTCCCCAAAACAAGTAATGTTCATTATATTCCCTTTTCCGGAAAAAACCTAAAAAAATAACATTGATCGCAGCAGCCTAAACCTGCCAGAACACAGACGGACCGCCCATCTACTCCTTCCACCATCACTGTTGCCAAACCTATTGCCACACCACCACTATCTTCTTTTTATTTATATCTGAAGCAATATAATCACCCACAAAAATTCTATCTTCATTTTTTCTGTCCCCAAAGGCCCAACTACCTCATCCCCAATGAGTTCCTTCCTGTTGGACCCTAACACGCACAAGTACTTGTCATACAAGATTTTTAAACAAAGGATTGAACCTAACTGCAAGAAATTCAAAATCAATCATGATCAAGCTCAAGATTGGTGAGTGATACAAATGGGGAAGAACTCCATTTGGAAAATGGAATGAAGGGATAATGAAATTAAATAAGTAGTTGAGATCAAAATCAACTGTTTAAGCAATTGGATATTTTCAAAGAATGCTTTACTCCTCGGGGAGTACTCTAAAACCCTGCACTTTTTTTTCCCACCAAAGATATTGAGAGTGCACAAAAAGATCAATGACTAAAGTAGTCTATGAAAACCAAAGTGGCACTCTATCCTCCCTAGACCCCACTTGTGGGATTACACATGAATTATTGTTGTTGTAATCTAACAAGTGCTTATCAAGCCCAGACTTTTTGAACCAGAAATAGCTTCAATCAGCAAGTTCAGAATCTCGAGATCAAAAACCTCAAGAAAAATTATGTAGGACTAAGAAGTGTAAGTGTTCAAAAGATATATCTGGCAATAGCTACACATACAAGCGCTTTCATGAGCTTCCAGAGCATGCAAGGTCTTGATTTCTACATATTTGCGTGAGAAAGGTGAAGAAAACAGCATAAATAGGAAGATCACAGTAGAGAAACAGGACAAAGGGAGGACGCAATGCAATCTTCTTGTTTTTCAGCTCAGGAAAAACAGCAAATAACTAGGCAGAGCAAAACTATAGGAGATTAAGCAGGTGCTTTCGCAACTTTGGACCACCCTTGGTTTCTTTAATAATGAAATAAGATGTTAGCAGGCCCAAATTATAACATACACATATTGATATACATAATACACATGCATTTCATTCTCTCTTCTTTTGTTTTTGGATAGAAGGCAATTTACATAAACATATGTACTTGTGACTATTTATTATCTGTTATATTATATTGATGCTAACATAGCTTGACAACTGAAGATGATAAAAGCAGAGCAGAATCTAATTTCTATAATAATAAACAGATTGTACAAGAATAAAAGAAGTAACTTACATTGCATCTAAGAGGAAGAAGAACTTGACCAGCTCTCAAGTAGCCAGGGGTAAAAGCTTACATCGGTGCTGTCTTGTAAAACAAATGAAACAGTCAAGTTTTACACACAGATCCCCCAAATCATTTGGCAATCAAAGAACTCCCGATATGGCTGAGCATTCGGTTCTTCGGTTTTCAGTTCTTCACAGGTGCATACCAAATACCGAGCTGAAATTACCTCGGTTTGGTTCCATCTTTTGTAATTCGGTTCGGTTCTTTGGTATGGGCCTAATATCATATGCACCAAGGCAGCAGCTGTTTTTCTATCACATGGCTTGCAATTTTGCATGATCGACGCAAACATGTATCAGCAGCCTACACAGCAGGCCAGCAACTAAGAGTCTAAGAGGCTAAGCAAATAATTCAGCAGCAAAGGCCAAAGGCCTTATGCCTATACACTGCACCAACACAAAATTATATGATATCTTAGTTCATTTTCATTTACACCAGCAGCTAAGCTAATACAAGTATTAGCAATGAGTACAGCAGCAGCTAAGCTAAGGTAACACAAGTAATTCAAGCAGCTAAGGCCTAAGCTATGGAAAATAGCCTCTTTTTCAACTAAGTTAATTCCAGGCAGTAGCAACACAAACTTGTGAAAAGTAGGTAGAAGCAAACACCAGCAGCTAATGTTTCTCTCAGTTCAAATATCAAACAAAAATCGAGACCAGGCCGAAGAACTAAATTATTATGTTCAGTCCAGTTTTTCAGTATTTCAATATTTATGCCCACCCCTGAATAAAGATATCAAGAGCCTCAAAATTTACAAAACAAAAAAATCAATTTCAGCTGAATAAGCTGATTTTCCAATAATTTAACACCAAATGAGCAAAGGGAATCTGATCAAGAACCACTATAATAGCTGAGCTAAGTTCGATTACTCAGTGACACGAGTGTCCTCTGCATCATCAGTAACATCATCATTATTGGCTTCCTTGTGTGTGTACTCGGTGTCAATACTGCAATCACCATCAGTGTCAATACTGCAATCACCATCAGAGTCAATACTGCAATCATCATCAGAGTCCAGGCTTTCTTCTCCCAAATCTTCTCTAACCGTCTCTCGGGCGGCTGAATGATCTCCTCCATTCTCAACGTAGTCAGCTATTTCATCCTCGCCTCCCTGTTTTCCATAATTAATCAATCTTCTATCCACAATGACTTTCCTTGGACTCAGCAAAACCAATTCAGCCAGCCTTCTCCTAGCTAAATATAACTCATTAGGCTCAATCAACTCTCCCTTCCTATAAGCCTCCCTGAGAAACACCGTATGCAATTTCCCTTGATTTCCCCTCGTCGAAATATAAAATATCCCCTGATGCTGAAGAAGAAAGTCTTTCAGCTTCTTTGGCAAATCCATAGCCAACCTAAAATGCGCAATTCTCTCCAAAGTAATCTTCTTTTCAGCTGTCAACGACAACAATTCATGAATAGTCGCAACTGCTCTCTTTTCCATTCTCTTCTGTGCCTCGAGTGACCTTAAATCATAACCAGAGATATCCTCATACGGCAACCAATAAGGCAACCTTTGCCACTTCCAAACAGCAATCTTATAATACTTCCCAATCTTGAAACCTGGGGGGAAATTCACTCTAAACGAAAACCGCACATTCTCTTCTTCGCCACCCTTTTCTCTATACTCTCTCTCCCTAACATTCTCCACAGCACAAACAGTTAATCGCGGGTCTCTTTCAACAACCTCAATATACTTATTCCTAGTCTCTTTAGCATCAAACAATCTAAAATACTTGGGATACTTCAAAACCACAGAAAACTCAAAATCATCAGGTAAACCAAAATCTTTCCTTGCAATCCTAACATGTTCTAACCTTAATCTCCCCGTATTCGAAAGCAACAGAAGTTTTCGTAAACGGGTTACAGCTTGAGGCAATTGAGCTAAAAGGGCTAGATTTTCTTGCTCAATTTGAAGCAGTGATTTACGAGTAAGCCTGCAATATAATATTCTCTGAACTGGGTGTTCGAATACATCGAAAACATGAGGGAATTTGAGAATAAACTTCCCTGCTTCATATTGTTTGAACCCAAAACGGCGAGCAAGCATATCAAGGCGAGAAATGGCGATCATTGAATTTGGTTGAGTAAGAAGCAGTTCTTGGAATTTCATTACTTTACGGATTTTCTTCTCCACTTCCATGTAATCATCGTAGCCGTGGTCGCGAATACGCTGCTGGTTTCTGGGTATGGAAGTTGACTGTGACATTTGCTTTGGGGATAGTAAGAAAACTGTAGGAATCCATGTGAGGGACTTGAAGGATGTGGATTTTGACTGTAATAATTTTGAGGAAATCGAAAGGAAAATGTGCATTTTGATTATTATGTGAGTTCTTGAATTTGGGGTTTAGGGTTTTAGGAGGAAGATGAATCACACAGCAGTTAAGCTACTTATGAGTAATTAATTTTACGTTTTGAGGATGTTATAGTCATTTCAGATAAGATTTGTGCATTATTTTCCTTGTGTCGTATGCTAAAAAACTTGTACTTAAGGTTTTAATGACAATAACATTAATGATCTTTTACTAAAATGACAAACGTATCCTACCTTTTGTATATGGTTCACAAGGATACGTCTGTAATTTTATCGAAACGAAGCAGTTCTATTAGGGATAGTGTAGAATTATCTTTTTCCACATTTGGTTGGAGGTTTAGATAGTCTTTAAATTATTTATCTCATCATTTATATTATAGTGACGACATAAGTTATTACATTATATGATGGGATAACTTATTCTGAAATAATTAAATCTGAATTAACTTGTTCCCAACTAAACGACATCATACTGTATTAACCAAATTGGCCTTTTACTAACTCCTTTGCTTGGTGGGCCCTATCTAAAATCTCACTTCACACCGCTTGTCAAACCCTACTTTTAAGTTTGATTAGATTGACTTAAAAGTTAGTTAAACCTACTTTTAGGTTATTTTAACTTTTAAGGAGTATTTGACAAAGTTAAAAATAAATTTAAAATAACTTAAAAGAAGTTTAAAATCAAAAATAGGGCTCCTCTACTTTTTTATTTTTTGACTTGTCATTTAAAATTTGACTTTTTTTAATTTTTTTACTTAAAAATTATTTTTTTCAGTCTCTCCAAACGAGCTATTGCCTCTTAATTAGTAACTTGCTCATTTAATCTCTTGCACCCACCGACTAAATATGGTTGTTTGTTCTTTAATTAAAGGTTCAAGTTTAAATTTTTTTGTATGAAAAAGTTTTTCGGTAGAAAACGATTTTTTAAATGGAGCCTTGTACGGTATAAATACAAATATAATCAAATTCTAATATAAATATTGCGCATTAAATAGAAAATAAAAAAAATGATCATTCAATACCTAAATTTACATTCATTTTTATTTAAACTGTTTCATTCGTTTCATATATACTAGTGATACACAGGTTTTCAAATAGAAAAAATTATAAGAAATGACAAATATTGATAGTATATAACGCTTCATAGCTATGGTTTCATATATTTATGATTCGTGGTTACAGCTTCTTTTTTTTTATTCAGTTCCTAATTATATAAACTCAAAGTTTGTATAATTCGGTTCCTGATTGTGTAAATCTAGATTATATGTTTACCTTAATTATTTGTATACGATTTGTTGATACATTTGATTTGTATAAATATAAAAAAAAACCATAATGAATTACTTTGTTTGTATATTGACAAGCGAAATATACAAATGAAGTTCTGAAAAATTGTTATGGCAAGCAAAATATACAAACGGAGTTTTGAAAATTTTCTATGGCAAGTAAAATATACAAACAGAGTTCTGAAAAAAATTCTGATTGCAAGTGAAATATACAAACGGAGTTCTGAAATTCCTAAATGTATGTATACAAAATTTATATATAAATACCTTGTTTGTATATATACAAAAGGTAATATCCATAGCAAATTAAAATATAGCTATAGAGCATAATTAAATTAAATTTATTTGCTATTTATGAAAATTTCAAATACTATAAAAAAAAATTAAATACCATAATAAAACTAATATCAATATTATTTTATCTATTAGCTCCTCCAAAACAACCAATTTGAGTTTATCTAGTAAAAATTTTTAAAATTTGCAGGATCCTTCCAATTTCACTTATTTAATATTGTGTTGTTACACTCCTTAAAGTAGTTTTTTTCTATTTTAATTTGTTTGGTATATTTTGACTTGACAAGAAGATTAAAAAAATTAAAAAAAGATTTTAAAATTTGTTACTTTAAATTAAAGAAGTCAAATGTAAAAATAAAATACTTATTGATATATGGTCTTAATTTAAAAATATATCGGAATATATCAAAATGTTATCAATTTTGTAGTTTTAAATATATATGCGAAAAAATAAAATTTAAATTATAAAATTACTAAAAAGGCTAAAAAGACAGTAAAACAATTAAATTGAATAATTATAGGAGTAATTAATAACAAAAACAACTTAGTAATCAAATGAAAAATCATTTCTTAATTTTTTAAATTAAACAGTAAAAATAAATGGACAGAGTATTTAGGAATTGTGTGTATCTAAGTGACGTAACACGTCGAGGTTGTGAACAAATATTGTTCGATATTTGAACATGCCATCCTCGTGCACCACAACATGATATTGGTGGTCTCCGTTAAGCCACTTACCAAATGCTTCTTAAATATGCGACACGTGGCGCCAGCAATGATCATAGCTCGTATAGAAGATTCATTTCTTCTTCTTTATTTCAAATATGATTACGATATGGGAATCGAACCGTCACTAGTAAAAGTGGAATTTAGATACTCAATCAACTAAATTAATAAGATTTCTCTAAAGATACATTTCAATTGCATTGTACATTTTAATTTATTTGTTCGGTTTTAATATAATATTTAAAAACAAAAAAAAATTAATTCTCATAATCTTAAATTAAATATATGTCAAATATAATTTAATTTTGCAATGAAAAAACTAAAATATCAATTAAATTTGGATCGTGCATCGCATAATTTATTCAAATTTAGTGCTCCTACTAGAATTATTTTATATTCAAGACAAGAACTGAACCCAAAACATTTAATTCCTCTGTCCTTATTTATGTGACTTATTTTTCTTTTTAGTCAGTTTAAAAAAAAAATGACGCATTTCTATATTAAGTAACAATTTAATCGTAAAATGTTCATTTCACCCTTAATGAAATGATTTATAGCCATACAAATTTCTATTATTCATTTTAGACCATAAGATTTTAAAAACTTTTTTTAAAAAAAACTTTGTGTCGAGTCAAACTGCTTCACATAAAATGAGACAAAAAAAATAGTACTCCCTCCGTTTCACAAAAAATGACCTCCTTTCCTTTTTAGTCAGTTTAAAAAAGAATGACCTCTTTCCTTTTTTGGTAATATTTTACTTTTTACTTTCCACGTGGCATATTTAAGACCACAAGATTAAGGGCAATTTTGTACATTTGACATAACTTTAATTTAGGACCACAAGATTCAAAAGTCTTCTTTATTTACTTAAATTTCGTGCCAAATCAAACCAGATTATTCTTTGTGAAACAGAGGGAGTAATAATTAAGGATGAAACCGTTCCATTGTAAAGTAAAACACCTCATCATACAAATACTATGACCTATGCACTCCATTTCTTTCCTTAACTATATGTTTCCGTGGTCCTACTCCCATGCAGTAATTGTGTGGTCCGCTTCGATTTTCTCGATTCGAGCGCCTATTCGACTTTAGTAGTTTCGCCACGTCACTATCGACAACACAAGCTTTAAACGTCAAGAACTGTTCTGAGCTGGCATTCATTGACAAATATACCCTCACTAAAAATAAGTAGGCTTTGGTTAAATATTCTTTTATTTTATTTATTTGAAATATATGAAGTTATATTTAGGTAATAAGTTATACTTTTTACAAAAAAAAAAAAAAGAGAAGAAAACTTTATTTGAAAGGTATGAAGATAAATTTGAAGAATATGTTTAGATTTTGTTCAAATTCAGGTTTCAGAAATTAATTATATTAATTTTTTTTTAAAAATTCTAAAAAAAGTGAGTAATTCTAATAGTCAAATCTTGACTTAATGTGAAATTTAAGAAAGTATAAAAAAAAATCAAATTTTATGGTCTTAAATCAATACGACTATACTACTAGATCTTTGACCAACTTTTTAGGAGAAAATAAAATATTTTTATGGACAAGAAGAAATTGTTTTCCAAAAGCTAAAAAATGTTTTTCCCTAAAAATACATATTCTTACTCACAATTTTTTTTTCAAACACTAATTGATACTTTAAAATATTTTAAAATTTATTAATTAAACATAAATTAATTATCACAAATATTAAAATCTTAATCTTTGAAAAGAAAAAAGAAATTAAGATCTAATACAGACATCAAACACCAATAAAAAAAAGTGAAGTTATAGGGGCTTAGTGGTACTTGGAGAAAGTAAAGCAGAAGAGATGATGTGTTAAAATGAGCAACTCTGATGATGACATCGTGCAAGTTTGGACGTGTCAAATTTGTTGGCGTTGATGCATGCCTTGTAACGAATAAAATACTCAGATATTTTTTTGGGGCAATTGATTTATTTATGGCGTTGGCGTGGGAGTTTAATGCTGATTGGTGAGTGTCGTATCGAGGTCGATGCTCCCTCATTGTCTTGTGTGGCTACGAGAGAAAGCAACATGACACATGACAAGTGCAAGTAATAGTGGAGTATTATTGTCTTCTTTAACTAACAAAACAAAAAGGATGGGAAAAAACAACATGCCCTATGTATAGGACTATAGGTATTGAGTACCTACAACAAACTATTTTGTAAATTTGATGCATTGTACTTTTGTCCATTTAAAAAAATAATATATAAACATGACTTTTATCTTGACTTTAACAGATAATTATGTCCTCCAACTTTGAAAGTGCACAAGTAGACACTTAAACTTGTATAATATTGAACAAGTAGACAATGTGTCCTACATGACATAATATACGTATGAGTTATGACGCCATGTATGACACAAAATTACCATGTAGGTTGTCATGTAGGATGAATGTGTCTATTTGCTCAATTTTATATTATAAGTTTATGTGTCTACTTGTGCACATCCAAAGTTAAAGGTCATAGTTATCAGCTCACTCCAAGTTAAAGGTCATGTTTATGTATTATGTCTTTCTTTTAGTCTATTTTAAAAAGATTGATTTTTTTCTCTGTAGACAATAATTTAATTTCAGCTTTTCACGAGATATATTTCAAGTCATGAGATTGAATGACATTTTAATATATTTGACATAACAAAATTTAAGATCATAAGATTAAAAATCTTCTTTATTTTTTAAAATTTTGTGTCAACTCAAACTAGACCATTTTATTTGAAATTGAGGAATTAATAAGTACGTATGTAGGTCCTCAAAAACTTACTAAATA